GCCAATGAGTATTGCTTCAGGAGTCCCATGTTTCCCTCTGCAATCTCTATTTAATTTACTTATTTCCTAAATTACTAAAATTTCTAAGATTTGGGTGTCGTTTTTTCAGTTGTATTGTTGAATTGTATTCTCTTTAACTTATCTGAGTTGAGTTCTCTCAGAATAACTACATTTTATAACTTCGATGAAAATCCTCATTCGGAAATTAAAATATACTGAATACCATTTATTTAATTTATTAACTTACTCGATGTTTAAATTGTTGGAATCTGAACTTGAAAAATAAAGATTTATTTACATATTTTGAATGACCGGCAAAAGGAGAAAAATGGACTTGAGTATGCAGCAAATATCTGTAGCTTACCATGAAATTTTATGACTGTCATCCGAATCTTGAACTGAAATCAAAGGACCGTAGTACAGCTGAAATCTGTACGGTAAATTTCCTGCCTCCCAGAGCGGAGATTTTTCTGTATAGATTGGGCCCACGTATAAGTCGTAAAAATGAGAAAGATAACTTCGACATTGAAGGAAAATTTTCGGTGCATGATCCAACTATATTTTTATTACTTTCTTTTCCGGGAAAGCTCGTTATGTTGTATTTCTAAATAATGATTCATTTCGTCCAGATCTTTTCTCAATCATCGTCAGAAGGAATATTATTTCGAAAACGCCAGTTTGTGTAATTTAAGGTTGTTGTCGCGTAGAATTTTTTTTCGACAGTTTTCGTTAAAAATTTTATGGTGAATAGTTTGAAAAATTAGCAATAAAATGAGCCTTTTCCGTTTGCAATTGACCGTTTTGAACTTGAGATATAAATTTTTGAAATTCGAGTGATTTAACACGTGTTTAAATGGAGTTTTGCCGATTAAAATTTTTTAAAAATCAACGGCTCGACAGTTTCAGAAATAAAAAAAAACGTGGAATATACATCGTGGGAGGAAATACAGAAAAAAAAAATCAAATCGATTGACCGTTTGGTTTACGGAATATAATTATCGGAAATAAATTCATATAATTGAAAATAGTCAATATGGAAAATATATAGTTATGCTTTAGTTATCCATGCACAATGCAATCAATCAAGTGAGACTAAATACCGCTAAAAGATTGTGTTCTAAACTGGCCCGTTTTACAGCGGATAAACTTTTTACAGAGACTGTCGCGCGACAACAACCTTAAATTATTATTCCTTGAATAAGGATATAGATATAATTAAACTTTCGCCGGACGTCACGCCACCAATCATATTTTTTCATTGCGTTCTCTGCCTGTTGTGTGCGTTCACATGTTTCACCAAAATCACTTCCCGTTCGGTGGGCATAGGGCAAAATAGGGCATCTGTGTAAAAGTTGATTATTTTTTGAGACTGTCAGTGGAGGCGCTGTCACAGATTCTTGCGACGATTTTATTGGTCATTTTATTGGACAATTAAGAGGAGGAAAATTCTTGAATTGTCTGGATGAGCGGGGTGCTCATTTTTTCTGCATTTTTTGTTAACTTGTTGTGTGCAACGATCCTTTGTTTTTCTTTATTGATGTTTAGAACATTCGAATTCTGCAGCATTATGAGTTAAACATTTGCATCGGAGAATCTCCAGCCATTTTGGTCATTTCAGTGAATTTTTGGTTCTCTCTCTCAGGTTTATTACCTGAGATTATTATTTCGTTTGTTGGTCACAACTATTTTTATTTATTTATAGTTTTTATTTATTTCTTTTCGAATTGTTAGTTTCACGACATTTAGACTTTTTGTTAGTGTAGTGAATTTTTGATAATTTCTCGCCCTTGGCTTCTATGCGATTACATTTCATTTAAAGCTAAAAAATTGATCCTAAATAAATTGCTCCTGGTCAAAATGATCCTATAAAGAAATAATCCTGGACAATTTAATCCCAGTCAAAATAATCCTAGGAAATGTAATCCCAGTAAAAAGAACCTAGAATAAAAATCCGCCTCAAATCGCCCCTAGCAACGCCGAAACAAAGAAAGAAGAGTAACCGAAAGAAAAATGTAGATAATTAGTCAGGAAAAGACAAATTGAAACCGTAGACAAAACGACATATTTACGACCTATTTATAACAACAGAAAAATCAATACTGCCACAACAATCGCATGGACAGGTAAAATAGAAACACACAACTAATACAAAAACTATGCATAACCAAGTCGTGACACAATATTATTTTCGTTTAACTAAAACATTCAACGTTCAATGTTCAAATAAAAAACATCTCAAATAAGACTTACAAGCCATCAAAAAGCCCGCCACGTCCATGTTATCAAGGCTCTCATCTCAATATCGCGCACAATCGAATTGAAATCAATCATTTGAAGGGAATTGCCCTTCAAATATTTCAAAACATCCTTTCGGTCATATCCTTGGACCAAATTCAATAACTTCACATCAATTCTTTGATAAACCTTCCTCTTCTTAGAAGCAGACTCATCAGATTCAGCTTGGTTAATCTTCATTTGAGTTAATCCTTGCTCTCGGCGTAACAAATCGATCATTTTCCAAATCGGTAAATGCCTAGCCTCAGCTCGAGTATTCAGTGCATGATGCCATCCCTCGGCACCGTTATTAGTGCGACCGATTTTCTCTAGAATACTGATGACTCATACTGATTCCACAACTTGATCTTAAAGATAGGGGCACGACGAGTGTTACGACGTTGATTCTTCTCGACGATCCATGTCTCGTCAAAGTAATCCAAAATAGATGCAAAAGCCTCAAGATGCTTTTGATAATACGGAGTTGCAATCAATAGTTCATAAGCATAGAGCACATCATCTTCGAGCACAAAAACCAAAGCAGCAATCATCTTCAATTGTGAAGCCATTGTACAGCTCGCAGAATAAGTTGCGTGTAATCCAGCACCTTTCATTCTATCGTAGATCAGCTTCGTAAAATGAAAAAAACATCCAATCACATTGTCAGGTCTTTTTTTCCTCAGGATTATGTTCACTCAAGATTAAATTGAGGAGGATTTTTTTGCAGGATTATCTGTCCACGATGATTTTTTTTCAGAATCCAATGACCGGTCACCCATTTTTGTGAATTCTATTACTTGAACGTCTCGTGATCCCGAAATTATTATTATTTATTTTTACATTTTTCCTTTTCCTATTACCATTGTTACCATGGTTTGATAGGCGCCCCTTCGTCTTAGCCTTTTAGCCTCTCCTACTATCCTCTCATTAGCCTCTCCTACTATCCTCTCATTATTTTTGCGGTAGCATGGGCCGACTTTCTGTACTGCGCCCATTTGGCGTGTACTGAGGGAAACCATGTAAAACCTCAGTAGCGCAGCCGGCCGGTACTGCGGGGATTCTGCTGTGTTCATCAGTCACACTGACTCGGTGAACACACCAGCTCTCCGCACTCGTGCCTGACGGCGGCAGTCTACACGCCGATGGGTGTGACTAAGCGGGCACCCATCCAAGTACTAACCCAACTGAGCGTTGCTTAGCTTGGGTGATCGCCGGAGTCACACACCGCCCGCGTGGCTACTGTCGCCGCTGATCCCAAAATTAATTTCCATGAATTTGTATCCGTTTTGTTTTCATTTTTGAGGTGGAAGGGCACGTAGACTCATCCATTTTCACGTTATTGGGTTTGTCAGTCAGTAAAATTATTTTCACATTGTTTTTTAACATGTTTCTGACTATAAATGGGACTTTTTCTAACTCAGGACAATGAAGTGTCATGATTTAGATTGATTATTGTTAACTTCCGCCTCACTTCTTTATTTCTCTATTTTGTGAATTATTAGACTTCAGAAAACCATGCGCTTAATTTAACTAGACGACTGTGAACTAGTTCACAGTGTAAAATAAATATTTAATGTTTTTTTTTGAAAAATGCCTAATCTTTCTGATGGGATTTTAGTAATTATTATTTTATTTATTGTATCTTTGTATCTCTACTTAGTTAAAAATGGTTTTCCCCGAAAATTTGTGAATGTTTTTTCCTTTGTTAATTTTCGATATGTCAGAGACATCCCCTTCCAACTTCTTTGACCAGGTTGATTGCTGGGTGGACCAGGTTGATTGCTGGGTACAGCGGGAATGGCATCCAAAATGAATGATAATAATGATATAGTTGCGAAAGAATTGCATGAATGAAAAGTCAAAACGGAAGGTCTCTCTCTCTCCCTCTCTCTCTCTCAAGAAAAAAAAATTTTCTTGCCAGTGCAAGCGGTATAAAAGGCTACCTGAGCAATTGCCCGAAAATACGAACAAATGAAAAATTTGTGAAAATCGATGCATTGAGGTATTTTTCGAGTCTACTAAGCGTCAGACAATGGATAACTATATTACCAGGTAATATTTTATGGATTTTGGCTACAGCGCAATTTTTCGGAGTGTATGAAATCTCAAATTTTAGTATCTGATTTTCACTGCAATGACATGGGAAATCATTCCTGTCATGCTTCATCAACTTTCACTCATGGAAACTTAACAATGTATATCAAAAATATTTATTATTAATTAATCCTTCTATTCAGAAAAAGAAAAAGAAATTTTTTTTCAGCATGTTTTTCAAAACATAAGTGAGCGGAATTACCCGGTGAGGGATACGGCCATCGTTTACCAAACAGCACTGATAGAAGAATGAGGTTTTCCCAGGCTGATCGCACCAGGCATTTGGTCATAAATATAACCAATAATATTTTATTTCATTGTTCGTCGATTTTTGCCATATTTGAAACTAGTCAATTTATCTATCGAAAAAACTGAAAACTGTTTGAGGCAACTCAGCATTTTGGAATAGGTACCGAATCGTAATTGACTCACCATTTCATCTGTTGCCAAGTAGCCATTTGGTAGCGATGGCCCCATCATCCAGTTGGTATTATTCAACTGTACACCGCATTTGTGTATCATTAACCGAAATCTTCTGTCAGTGTAATGTTGATCCTGTTCGAAACATATCACAGAAGGTATAGTTCATTCATTGGCATTGTAATAAATCTTATGTTTTGTATTTTCTTCAGAGCCAGTGACGGACTATAAAATTTGGGTGAAAGCATTCACTGGAATGAATGAGGGTGAGCCATCCGATCACATTATGCAAAAGACTGATGTTGCGGGTCCCAGTGCGCCCATAATCCTGAATCTTACTTGCCAATCACGAGATGCCATGTACGTTTACTGGTCACGACCCGAGACCTTCTGGAATTCAATAGATTATTACTATATCATGTATCGAAATGAGTTGGCGCACAAGCACCTCGAAATTGAAATTCCAACATCAAAGGAGCATCTTAATAGTGGGGTAAATGCAATGTTTTTCCATTTTGCAATCAATAATGATTTGATGTGATGACCGAGTTAACGGGAATTGTAAACGAATACATTTTAATGTGTTCAATCAGTAATGAGCAATTGTTCGATAACAGCCTAATTAATCTGGCAGCTGAAAACATTGCAACTCTTAATCAATTCAGCTGATCATCAAAAATACCAATAGGTACGTAGAAGTTACCCGAATAACATATTACAAAATGTTTACGCACAGTTCAACAGGAAACATAAATACATAAATTACAAACTATCGACTGTTGTGCATTTAACACCAAAAATGTCAACCGTATCAATTGAGCACATCCAATTACAAAGAAAAAAATGTCGGCATGTAGACAGAAAATTTAACTGCAAGTGTATATCCCGGAACGTACATTCTAACTCATTGCGCATCATGCGGGCTGGACTGAAATGCGTCCGCAAAAAAGGGGTGGACTGTAAAATGTCAACAAATTGAAGAGGTTAGGAAACTTCAGTATTTTTTTCCATTATAATTATTTAAAGTATGGCATGGTTTTTTGCTATAGATTTATAGTTCAATTTTTGCCCAACACGCTGATATTTTTTTGAACAGTTCGTAAACATTGTAACGAGATTTTATCGTCACTAAATGAAGAAACTGAAAGAAAGTCAAAATGAGTAGACAGAGACATCTGATGCCGACTGAAAGAGCCGAGCGAAATATGATTAGCGCATCGGGCGCCGGCCAATCAGGCCGCTCCGCAGATGAGTGAGACCAATCACATGGAGGAAAGAAACGTGGTAGGGCGAGACCATGTTTCGGAACACTATGCTGACGCTGACGATGGCTGTAGCCAATTTTGGAAATCCACCCAGCTGTGTCAGAGAGTCCAGGGCCGACGTACAGGTGTTCCGATTGTGTGATTCCAAAGGGCACCGTCGATTCAGACCAGGGACCAACGGCTAGGTGAAAGGACTAGTGCCCCCGTGATCTCGTTGAGGTGATCGGTGGTTGTGGTGTAACTGATCACTTACAGACGTCGAAAGGTTCAGACTAGGGGAGGGGGCCCTGGGAGATCTTGAGGCAGTCGAAGCGAAGTGCTGGTAGCGAGCGGATATTTTAGGTCTTTCTAGGCTTGTCACTAGTTGGCGGCAATAATCCCCGTTGGGGTTATGACGGGTACGTGTTCCCAATCATAGATTGAAATAGCGAGACATGGGGATGTCTGCGGGTGCGGAACGAACGCTTGCGGCCACAGAGATCGATCTCCAAGGTGAAACTCATAGTGCCAGCACTGGGGTGGATTAAAATTTGGGAATCGAGTCGGTTTCCGTAGTCGGGTTTTGGCTCGCGATGAGATTGCTGTTACTAGACAGCCTCGAGTTGGAGTGGACATTAGGTAGGTGCACAGATTCTCCGGAGGCCAATAACGCATATGCCTCGAGATGTTTAACGTCCTGTGTGGTGAGAAGGATTCGCCGGTAGTCTATGTCTCTTCCAAGGTCGAGCCACCCTGGAGGACAGTGGAAGACGTGGGAGGGTCCCCCAATAATTCTCGCTTATGACGCCGCAACAGCGGCTGAAGTCGGTAACCAGATTTACGCAGACGTTGCTGGACGTTGCCCACTCTACAGTGTCATGCTGATGATGAATGATCGGAAAGTGGACGAACCTCCATCGCCGCTGGTTTTCGTCAGGTTTTCCAAGAAAACCGGGCTGGCGCCCGATCGCAGACGGTAGAGACGACAACGAGAATAGTTTGAGGGTTATTCCGAGATGTTGACTCGGGAAAAAGGCTCTTACAGCATGTTGATATGTTGTTCAGAACACTTTTCTGCATCTATTAGCATATTTTCGTGGGCAGCTGAATTAATTAAGGATTAAAGGCTCTTGAAAATTGCTGGACTATAAGTGCAGTGGTTTGATAGCGATTGATATGCCCCAAATAACTAACGAACAATAAAAAATCAAAGCCCCTCGTTAGGGATGTTTTACACCATGTCCACCGAAATTCACGTCTTTTTCATTTTTCTGGCAAACCGACGATAAGATTGACAGGTAAAATATAACGTTTTTGCGGTTTGGCATTGTTTAATGACTGAAAGTGGTGTCGATATTTTTTGGCTGAAAAAACGCATGGAAATCATCGCACCATCACTAAATTTCGTCAGCCATTAAATAAAGACGAAGACGCTATTTTTTTCACCGTCAATCCCATCAATCATTGGCTAGGGAAAAATTGAAAACATAAATTTCGGCTAAAAAAATGTTTACCGTCCTTAATGCTCACAAATAATTTTATCAGTATATGTATTCTAACGTAAAACCCTTTAGCTCTACTATTAAGGAACACTTCAATATTTATACGAAATTATATTTTCAGATTACAATACCAAATCTCACAATGAATACAATCTACGAATTGATGGTTTGTGCCGGTACGAACAGTTCCATCAATCCACATTTGATAATCCGTGGAAATTGTAGTGTACCAAGAAGTCAACGGGTAGCATATAATTGTGATGAAGGACCTTCTACAATACTTCGTAGAACAAATGAGCTAAGCGCTGGTGTAATAGCGGGAATGATTTGCGCAAGTTTTGCAGTTTTACTTACAATCGTTGCACTGATCTTAAGGAGGTGAGGAATTATTGTTATTTTCCACGATGTATTTTCTTTTTTTTTCTCCTCATCCTTAAAATGAACTCATCTTTATTCGTATTCTCTTATTAGACCTATGAAATAAAGGTGTTATCATAACGTGCGCCTGGGAAATTGGTTTCGATATATCCTTAAAATTTGGGAAATAAGGCATTTTATACAATGAAGGAAATTTCTTTTTTATAAGCGTTCAACAGTTTGGCAGTAGCTATCTAAGTATGAAGTTATTGTCGATATTCCAATGACTATTGAAATTATATGCTCAATTTCTGGACAGTGACGTTAACTATTGATTCGTTTTTCTTTAAGCTCTCATTCATCTACATACTGAGAAAAATTTACATAAGTTTCCTGGAAGCATATAATATTGATACCAGTGTTGCCAGCTGGCAATTTTTTCTACAAATTTTTCCCGATTTTCTAGAAATAGGATAGATCATAACATAGTTTAAATGAGATATCAACTACTTTTTTTTAAAAAATATGAATTATTCGCATTATCGACTTCACTTAATTGGTTGGGACTGTATAAAATAACTAAGATTTTTTAAATATCACAATGTCCAGTTAACCTAGATGTTTCCAGACCTAATCAAATAGAGGAATGATCCTTTCTTCGAAATACTGCCTTCGTCTTTTCAATGCCCACAGTGTGATCTTCACTTAATGTCGACCGTGGGAGTGCATTAAACCAGCCTAGTTGCAAGACATTAAATACAATTACTCACGGAAGTTACACCCTGATTATTTTCTCACTGATGTCGTAGAGCATTGCAGACCGTTGTTATTCCAGATGGATTCGCCCTTCCTTGAATGTTCATATTTACTCGTCCATTTGCGACGTAAAAGTGATCTATTTATCCTTGGCATTTTGAAATGAATTTATTATTCCCTGGCAATCGGTGTATTTTCTTAGTAGTGGCTTGAGTATAGTTTTCACTGAGGCTGTTTTGGCCCAAGCAGTCTCCCAGGCTGGTCCAGGACTGATTAGTCTTGCAACTAGGCTGGTTTAATACTGTCCCTGGTGTGGCGCAGCCAAATGTCGCAACGGGGCAGGCGTGGTGTCTGGATTACTCATGTATTGACCAATGTTGCGTTTCAAGCCCTGTCCCAATAATGTAATCAAGAGTTGGTCCAAGACTAGGGCAGAGTCATTGCCACGAGTGAAACAATTATTAATTTTAGTCTAGCACCAGTCGTTGATTAATATAGAACGAAGACACATCGAAGTTTGATATCAAAGCAAAATGTTTATTTAAACGATGCGACTTCTTTCCATTTCAATAATAATACTTTTTTTTACCGAGAGCGGCGGCAGTAGCCACGTGGGTGGTATGTGACTCCGACGGTGGTTCAATCTAAGCAACATTCAGTTGGGTTCGTAATTCGATGGGTGTTCGCTGAGTTCCACCTTCTGTATGGAGACTTCCTGCGATAGGCACGGATGTAGAGAGCTACTGTGTTCATCGAGTCAGTGAGACTGATCAACACAGTAGGTTTCCGACATTACCGGCCGGCTATACTACCGAGCTTTTCCATTATTTCCCTCAGTATAAGTCAAATGGGTGCAGTTGAAAAAAGTCGGTCCATAGAACCGCAGACAGAAAAAAAGAAAGAGGATAGTAAGAGGCTTCAGGTTATAATACGAGAGCTGCCTACAAAACCGTAGTGGTAGTTCGAAAAATAAATAAATATAAAAAAAATCTCCCCTTTTCGCCTTTAAATCGCAATATTTTCTTTACATGTAAATGACGAAACTGATGTTATATTATGGAAAATCGCTTTTTGTTAGTTGCGAGCAGCCCCCCGCCCCTCGATCACCGGCAGCAGACAGAAATTGACTGACATATTGGATGGTAGATAATTAAAAAATTAAAAACTATTGCTACTGATCTTCTCGTGAAATATCAGTCAATTTACCTTCTGAACAGTGATAAATTCTGGTTCTATTGAATGGTAAATCTTGACTTGTCTTTGTCTTGCTTCCTACTCCACTCTGAAGTTGTTGAACATGGTTTGTCTTACTTACTTGGCGCGGTTTTTCCCAAGAACTAGAGTTATAGTCGGTCTTCGGTCAGTTTCAATTATTAATCAAATTTCATTTTAGCATTATCCTGTAAATAAAACCGCGCCAAGTAAGTTGGTCCTGCCTCTATTGATTTTTTTATTTTCATTATTGAATCATTTCAATCAAGTCGCATCACTTTTCTTGGCGTTTTCATTTACATTTTGTGAGTTTTTTTGAATTTTTAGGAACGCCATATTTTCGCAAAACACGAGTTTTTTACGGAATCAATTGAGCGAAACTTTTTCTTGGCTCATTTTTTTTACAAAAACACCATTTTTTTTTTCATTTGGGGAGATTTCACGGATTTTTTCAATATAACTAAAGAATTATTTTCACGTTTTCCAAATTTTTGTTACCCACATCACGTTTTGCGTTCATTTGAAGTATATCATTTGCATGACTTTTATACATAATACATAATGTGTTTCAATAATTTGAAAAGTTTCTTTCTACATTTATACATGTATTAGACCCAATCAATGTTTTTTAGTGTCGAAATCTCGAAATTCATACTTCCATTAACCTCCAAAATTGACTTCAGTCACATCTGTAATTACACACATAAATAGGTTAAGAACTGCTCATCATGTTCCAATAATACGCAAAGCTAATATTCGTTACCATAAAATAAACAATTATAATTATGGAACTAAATGAAAAAGATAAAATCCGAGGGAAGAAATAAAATACTCTCCTCTGTTTCCCTGTTACAATTCAACGGTTTGAATACACTGATGGCAACATCTCAACGCCCAAGTTAGGTTAGATCGAACTGCTACCAAGTTACTGACTGCAATGTAACCGAAAGATAATAGAAATCGGGAAAATATTGAAATGAGTCCGCTGCCATGGGCGTATTTTTGTCAATATTAATCGAAAAGAGGGAAAACTTATACCAATGAAAAGTTTGAGGGCGATTCATATCATGTAACTCTGCCCAGATTTCATGTAACTTGTGGCGTTTGTATTTTATGGATTGAATAGGATTAGGAGGTAGTGGAAGGGATAGTTGTGTCCTGTATAGATACACTGTAGCTCTCGGCCTTATTTGTTGGATAGAGGCGAAACTTCTACTCGGCCGATACCCTACCGCGTATCTCGATAAAATCGGACACAACTGTCCAGTAGAATTTAAGTACGAAGCCGTCCCATCAATGTGAATTTAGATTAGATTAGATTTAAGTATGCGGACGGTCGGACTAGCCTCCCCAATGCCACTGAACTCAGAGTAGAGTTATTATAGTTCCGCTTGTTTTATGCACCGATTATATGTCCAGCCCTGCCTTTGTTGCCAGTCTTAGCAGATCCGTTGCATCCTATTTCGCGACTTGATTTGCGGTGGGGACAGCAGTTCCCCACCAGCGCAGTCTCGTCGCTGATAGAGCCGGACAGTCACATAGGATGTGTAGACTGTCCACTTTTGCTTCATCACAGAATCTGCACCACCCATCCGAGTCCATGCCGATGACTCTGCAATGTTCTTTAAATCTGCTATGTCCTGTGAGCAGCCTGATCGTAGTGGCCAGACTTTTCCTGTCCATGGCCAGTAGGTGTTTTGAACTTTTCTTGCTGGTCCCAGGCACGATTGTTCATGTCAGAGCTTCCCCTTTATGTGGCTTACACTCACGGCATGGGGGACTCCCACTGGCGAAGCCTCGTTCGCATTTATTGCCCCCTGCTTCGCCAACCCGTCTGTCATTGTATTGCCGTGGATGTCCTCGTGACCTGGGACCCAGGCAAGGGTTACCTTGTTGCTGGTCCCCAGTTTTTCCAGGCTCTTTAGGTTTCTCAGACCAACTTAAAGTCAGCACTGGATTTGAGGAGAACTTTTATAGCGACTTGACTATCTGTCCTCACAAAAATGTGTTTGTGGATTGTCATCCGGGACACCAGAAGCTCTGAGCACTTTTTGATTGCTAGAACTTCCGCTTGGAATACGGTGGCCATAGTCCCTAAGGACCAGTGCTACCTGTAGTTTTCCTCTGACCTGTACAGTCCTGGTTCAAAGCAGCCTCTGTATCTTGAGCCATCTGTATACCAGTGCATGAGATTGGTGCCTGTTTTCTTTACAGTTTTCCAGTTCTCCCTCTCAGGAATGTAGGTTTTAAAGGCCTTCTTGATTTGGTACTTCCTGTTCATTCTATCATGACCCATGTTCCAGGGATTTTTCTTGAGGATGTCAAGCTTGGCGGGTGCCGCTCCCGTTTGCTCCCATTCTCTCTGGCACAGGAGCCTATAAGCTGTTGATTCTGCCCTACTCACCAGAAAATGATCGAGTGAAGACAGGTCCAGGGCAATTTCCAGGGCGTCCGTGGGTGTCGTTCTCATGTCGCTACCCTCAGGAAATTTCCCTGCATTTGAGCAGGTTCTTCATCTCCACCCTCTTCGCCCTGGACCACCCGACTACAGCGGCGCACATCAGCCGCGGTAGCACAACCCTTTTGTACAGCCATAGACTGATCTTTGGGCTAAAGCCCCAGTCTCTGCCCATGGCTCTTCTACATGCTCACAGTGAGGCATACATCTTGTCCATCTGTGTCTCTATGTGCTCCCTCCAGTGGAGCTTGGCGTCCAGTTGAACACCCAGGTACGTCACTGAGGTAGCATAGGCAATCTCTGCACCCGCTAACCTCATCGGCTCCGGATTTATAACTTTGTAATTCCTGGTGAATATCATAGCCGACGTCTTCTCAGGGTTAACTGAGAGTTCCGTCCTTCTCCACCAATTAACCATTGTTCTCAGAGAGTAGTTCAGTCTATCCCTATTGCCCCTAGCGACAATGGCCACGTCATACGCGTATCCATACACCAGGAAGCCCTGTTCCCTCAGTTCTTCTAGGAGCTCGTCCACGACGAGGTACCACAGCAGTGGAGATAGAACTCCGCCCTGTGGGTACCCACCCTTCGGACA